GGGTGCTCTGGGTCATAGTCTCGGACTCCATGGTACATCTTGTTCACCCCGCCCTAAGTACACATGCAATTATTTAAACACTCTGTGTGTGTACATCCTAGCAGGCATGACTGTAGCTGTTACAGTGTTGTGTGTACCTCCCACTCAGGATAGTCATGTTCCTGCAGCGTGCCCTTGTGTGATCCTGGCAGGACGACCAGGCAGCCGTTCTGCCTGTTCACAGTCTCCATAGCTGTCCACGCACAGACGATCCGATCGACTGGTCGAAAGGGAAAGTAATGCAGATCCTGATGCATCGGGTGACGGGACGTCTTCTTACCTGGAATGACAGAAGACACGTTAGACATTACGATACCAAACTCGTTTTCATTTTATTTTCTTCTCACAAATCACACCTTAAAGATACTCTATGTTATGTTTGAGCTTAAGAAATGTATTTGATGCTTCAGATAGATAAAGAACCGGCCATTCAGAGGGAAGATTACTAACACAGTCTAAAAAGAAAAGCTAATAACAATCAAGCACACATCAAGAGTGTTGATGTAATTATGATCACTGCCACAAGAGGGAGCCAAAACTAAGGGACACGTCCAGTTATTACATTGGTTATTATTTATCTGCACAATACTTGTCCTAAAAAGAGTCGGGTACCTAAAAATACTGAATTTAAGAGTAAACCCAAGAAGTACGCAGCATCCAAATAAGTATTAAGTATTTGTGACTTTGTCGGCCAAACATTTTAGTGAGAATTGAAATACCTGCATCAGGAGGTTTGTTGATCAGCATTGTGTGCATTGCCATGATGTTCGGTCCAATGAAACACTCAACATACTTCAGGATCTGATAAAGAAAAGCAAACTTTTTTGTTCTGATAGTCTTCAAGCTTGACTTATTTCATTGTTTATCAAAAGAAACAAATTCAATGCCTATTCATTTTTTTGTTTGTGAAAAACATTTAGACATTCCAGATTAATGATTGAAGTCCATGTAATGTTTTCTGCCTTATCACCTGTGTGATTACTGATAGCACCTCTGTGAGGCACCAAAC